AGAGGAGGGCTCTCTGGTTTAGCGGGCGAAGATGGAGATGATCATTATGTGACAGGGACCAGAGGAGGGCTCTCTGGTTTAGCGGGCGAAGATGGAGATGATCATTATGTGACTGGGGACAGGGGAGGGCTGTCTGGTTTCGCTGGTGAGGATGGAGATGGTCATTAAAATTTACATGCATGCCAGACAAAAACTACTGCTACGCAAAACAGGTCTCAATACAAATATGGTCATGTCACCTAAAACACTCACATAGAGCCAAGGCGAGATTCCATAAGATAGTGTGTCTGGGCAAGACAGCTTTGGTGGTGGGAGGGGGGCGGGGGGGCTTAATTTGCCTGGTCAGGGCAGGAATGAGGGGCTAAATAGTTTTGGTCCCAGATTTCAGACCAGGCTATGTGTCAGCAATGACTTTCAATGACTTAATCACTGCAGAAATGACTCCCAATAAACACAGTACCGCAGCAATGACTCCCAATGACCTCAGCACTGCGGCAATAACTCTCCATGACATCAACACTGTATCAATGACTCTGAATGACCTCAACCCTGCAGCAACGACTCTCAGTGACTTGCTGTTGTGACAGTTATCCCAGGAAATACAGCACTGCCACTAAGTCCCAGCACTGCACAACTGTATGATGACACTGCCACTGGCACAGAAATATTGACACTTACCCCCGGAGCCACAGCACTGCAGGAGTCACACACGCCCAGGATATCCAATACATGACCTGAGTAGTCGCAGCAGCACAGGACTGACATGCAACCCCAATGGCCCAGTGCCGATACCTGCCTCTTACGCATCACAGCATGTTGAAGTCTGAGTTTGTGTGTCCAAGTGTCAGCCTGTAAAGTCACACTGGGTTCTGAGCACGGTATCTCCATGGGACTCACCTGTAGAACCCAGAGAGGAAGAGGTCTGTCCACCCAGAGAATCAGCGACCTGCACCCACAGAGAGGCATCAGATATACAGCAGGAGACAGACAGAGTGCTCAAGACACAAAAGAACGAGATGTCAATCATCATCATTAAAATCATCTTCATACCTTCTTTCAGGAATATCAAAGCAGCAGATCAGACATAACCTCATTTCTCCATGGCCAGGCATCCCCAGACAATCCCAAGCCAGGTGGGAGATATAATACCTCCAGCATGACCTGGGTTTGCCCCAGGACCTCCACCCAGTAGGATGGCAGCCAACCAGAAGATGTCAGCACATACTTCAAATCTGTATCCTGATGAGTGGGTACTCGAAACGACTGGAAGTGCTTCTGTTCTCTGAAATGCCCTTCATTGGGGTACAAGCTACCTATCCTAAGGAAGCCTTTCAGCTCTGCCCTGGACCTGTGAGTCTACGCGTTGAAGCGGGGCTTACCAGTCAAACTGAGTCCGGAGCTGGGCAGATGAGTTCAGCCTAGAACACTCCCAGCTGAGGAAGAGTGAAATATCCAGCCATACCATTACATGTCTAGTATCATCTAATTAGATTAAACTGTTTAAACATCTATTTTAATTTGCAAATAATATGCAAACTCCTAAACCTTGTGGACAGCCTTCCCAGAAGAATTAAAGCTGTTAAGGG